GGTCATGGGGCCTGAACTCTGGGCCTGGGCGCTGTCCCTCAGCTCTTCAGCTCAGGCTAGCACTCTACCACTGGAGCCACAGCACCACTTCCGGCTTTTTCTGTTTATCTGGTGCTGAGGAATCGAACTCAGGGCCTCATGCTTGCAAGGCATGCATTCTACCACTGAGCTACCTTCCCAGCCCCAAGAAATCGTTAAATTTAGAACTGAAGGCCATTTTAAAAATATACCACCATAACCATGAGATAGTTCTGTTTCATATCTATATCCTTAGCTATCAAAGATGTGTCTGGGATATATATATATATATAGTATATATATATATATATATATACATACCATGTTGGAAGTGAATTCATTTGCCCATACACATTCTAATATGTGTGATGTTTCTCTGTATAGTGGTTTGTTTTTCACTGGATGTCTGCAGTGAATTTTGTGATATATGTGTAAATGTGTTCATTTCAATTTTAAAGTTTATGAAATTGAAAAATAGTTACAGTTAGGTTCTCATGTGTCTCTTTCCCAGATTCATTCATTCCTTTCTTTTTTGTTTCATTTCTTTCCTTTTTTATGCTCTCTTAGCTATGTTTTTCCCTTCCTTCCTTCCTTCCTTCCATCCTTCCTTCCTTCCTCTATTTGTCTCTTTTATTTTTTTCTTTTATTGTCATGTAACTCTTGACACATGCTTCCCAGGAAACATTATTTTTTTGGTTTTCTTTTTTTAAATATCATTTCAAAAGTATATGTGGCATTCCCAACAAGCCTACTATTAAGGAAGAGATAAGTATATCTATTTGTTGAGGAGAGGAAATAATGAGAGGCAGGCTCTAAATGTTAGGGTGTGATGGCTGTATATATTTTCCAAGGACTCTCTTCAAGGCCCCCATGACCTCCTTATTTCTCAAGCTGTAGATGAGGGGATTCAGGGCTGGGGTGACAATTGTGTAGAAGAAGGAGAGGATGTTGTCCTGTTTGGAAGTATGGAAAGAACTGGGCAGGACATACACGAATGTCGCAGGCCCATAATACATCCCAACTACAGCCAGATGAGAAGAGCAGGTAACAAGGGCTTTCTTTCTTCCCTCATTTGAGGGCATATGGAGTATAGTAAAAAGAATTAGTGTGTAGGACACCAGAATGGCAGAAAGTGGGGGAATCAGAAAGATCACACCCATCACATAAACCATGAGCTCATATCTAGAGGTATCTGCACAGGCCAACTTCAGCAGAGGTGGGATCTCACAGAACAGATGTTTAATCATTTGGCCTTTGCAGAAGGGATAATGCATAGTGTAACTGGTATATACAAGGGCACTCAGAGATGCCAGGATCCATGATATGCTCACCATGAACCAAAGAATTCTTGGTCTCATGAAGACCATATAGTTCAGAGGATGACAAATAGCCACATACCTATCATAGGCCATAAAAGCTAGCAGCAGGTCTTCTGCCCCACCCAAAATCAGTTCCAGGAACATCTGAAGAGCACAGCCAGCAAAGGAGATGGAGTTATCTCCATGCAGAAAGTCCATGATGGCCTTGGGGGCTATAACTGATGTGAGGAGAAGGTCAATGAGAGAGAGCTGTCTAAGCAGGAGGTACATGGGCACGTGGAGCTTCACATCCATTGTGATGAGCAGGAGCAGCAGCCCATTGCTGGTCAGAGACAGTGTGTACAGCACTGTCATTGTGGCACAGAGCAGTTCAGGAAATCTGCTGTCATTCAGAATGCCCACCAAGATGAAGCCGCTTCCCAGGGTGGAGTTCCAGAGCTCCATTCTCTGTGGTCTTTTTAGTTGCCTAGAACCAGATGTTTAAAGGAAGCCTTGCTAAGGGATTTCAGTCAATATTTGAGTATTTTGAGGCCAACTGGGGTAACCAACAGAAATTCTGTGGAATATCTTTCAATTGTCTATGTTCCCTCTGTGTTTTCTGATTTGTCTTAAAATTTTCAGTGAATTATAGCGATCTTTCAACTAATGAATGACAGGCATATCGATTATTGCTAACCATTAAATATATCATATATGTCTTTATGAATAGAATACACCCAGGCAAATATCTTCAAAGAAGTGAAAACATCTCTTACTTCATAATTACATAGTAAACTTGATATTGGTTTAAACTTTAGCTGCTTTTATGCTTAAAATCTACTTGGGTGTATACTTTAAAGTTTGTTCAAAGGAGTAGTATTTGCTAGTTTCTTCCTTGACTTGATGCGTGCTTTTACTTTGTCGTTTCAAAGTTGTTGTTTGTTTCTTCCACACAAGAATATCTGTGTCCTGACCAGTTGGTCTCCAGTAGTCTTCAAATATTCTCCTCTCCTTGATAGTTACACTGTTGGTCTGCTGAAGGAAGAGTAATTCTTAGCTAAAATGAATGAAGGGGTGAAATTGTTTTTAGCGATAAGTTGGTAGAAATAGTGAAAAATCACTTAACTTTTCAAGATAGCAATATAAATTTTATTCAGTGGAAGCAAAGACAAGAAACTGGACGGGATCTCTGGAGGCATGATAGCAGGTTCCATTAATGAAGGGTATGTATTTAAGGTGTTGGGTACGTAATGCCGGCATTGTAGGAAAGATAAAAGCCATCCCACTACTTGAGACTCACAACAGCACCAAGCATGAAACAGCTTGTTCCCTCACAAATATTAGTAATGTGAGGAAAGATGCCGTTCTGATGATGGTGAATCTCAATGAAAGTGCTGGTGGAAGGGATTGAAATGGAAAAAACATGGTGTGTGGGGTATCTGTGAAAGCATCCATTAATCATGAAGCCTGCTTTTTATAAATGCATCCCTCATTGTTAGGAAGACTTAAGAGACACTGTGGGAAAGAAATAAAAGATGTCCACTACACTACTTATCTCTCATTGATAAATAACTATCTGTGGTACTATTCGCTTGGGGTTCCCATCGGACTGTTGGTGTCCAGGAATGATCAGTTATACCAAATGCAAGTATTGCGATGCTTTTTGTTGGTGGTGGTGGTCATGGGGCTTGGACTCTGGGCCTGGGTGCTGTCCCTGAACTCTTCAGCTAAAGGCAAGCACTCTAACACTTGAGCCACAGCACCACTCTCGTTTTTCTGGTGGCTTGTTGGACATAAGAGTCTTATGGACTTTCTTGCCTGGGCTGGCTTTGAACTGCAGTCCTAAGATGCCAGCCTCCTGAGTAGCTAGGATTACAGGCGTGAGCCACCGGAGCCCAACTTTCAATCTTTTTTTTTAAACCATACCCAGGCTTGAACTCAGGGGCTGAGTGTTTTATTAACTAATTTGCTTATGCTGGTTCTTGGCTTTTTCTGACATGCCTCCAGCCCAGCTTTAGTCTCTATATTTGGGCATGAAGTCTGCTGGACTTTTCTGCCCAGTTTAGTTTCAAACCATGATCATGTGGGTGTTATCCTCCTAAATAGATAGGATTGTCAGCATGAAGTTCTAGACTCTGATCAGTACTGAGGCTTTTATCAGAAAAGTGACATCAGAAATTCTAGAATCTTGAGTTTGGCCACTGTTGTGCATATTTCAGGTAGCTTCTCCTGTACAAGGTAGATATGTGCATCATGTGCCTAGAATATGTGTGTGTGTGTGTGAGCTGTGAGGTCTGAGAAATAGACAGAGAGTAGAACATCAACTGTTTTTCAGTAATCACACCCTCTACACTTTCTAGAGACAAAGATACAACATTTACCTCCAAAGAAAAAAGTCACAGCTTTTAGATCACACCTATTATCCTAGGATTCACATGGGATATGAAGAGGCTCCAGATTCTTAGGAAAGAGGAAGCATTTCTTCTGAAAGGTGGAGGTGTGGATGTGCACCGTGGTCACTAGGATCAGGAGTCATATGCTCCTCCATTCACCATCATTTTTGCCAGCCCTCCTTAAGGAAGAGATGGATACAGATAATCACCTGAGAATCACCTGAGAATCCAGGCAGGATGCTGTGGATGCCAGGCCCTGATTCCCTCAGAATGTCTTCATCCAAATTCCTTGCCAGAAAGTCTCTCCTAGCTCCTGGAAGGTTTCCTGAGTCTACCTTAAGTTCCCGTAATCAACTTCCATCTCCTCTCCCAGCAGGAGCCCATATGAAAGGAAGAGCCTGGTAGAGACTCAGACAGATGAATGGGCAGTGCTGCTCAAAGGAGACCCACCATTTGTTTATCCTCGCTGCCTCTGGGGCAGTAGGGATCCTGGTCTTGTCTTTGGAGAATTTTCATACTCTCATCCTCCCTGGTGAAATGGGTTCCTAAGAAATTACATCTCCTAGAAGCCGGATTTTAATGAGTCCTTCCGGATTTGTCCCTTGGCCTACCATTTCTGCAAACATCACATACTAAACTAGCTCTGAGTCCCAGGACTTGTTTCATCTCTTGTGTTCTGGCTGCCTAAGTCCCTGATTAAATAGATGGTTTCAACAACTGACCCAGAAGCAAATGGGCTCTGATGCAGCCTCTAAGTTATCAAGGGACTCATGTCTAGGTTAGGACTGTCACTCTCCTTCTACCTCCCTGTGTCTCTTATTCAGGATTTTAACAGTGTGCTTTTGGTAACCTCAGACCTTCCTTCACTGGCCTTTAACACTGGTGTAATAGATGCTTTGAGTTCTTTGTTTCTTACATCTACGCTCTTTCATGTGTGTGCACGCCTGTGCCTGTCCTTGTCCTTCAGTATTCAGGGACCAGGGGATGAAGCTGGGCAGAGGTCAGGATGATGACACAACCCATCCCCCAGCTGTCACTGCTCTGGCTCAGCCCTTCTCAGCTCTCAGCTAGTTCTTCATTTCTTAGTCTTCAGTCTCCCTCCTCACCAGTCAAGGCTGGAAAAAAAAAGCAGCTGGGTTTTTTTTTCTACCTTTTTTTTGCCCTCAACATTAGCAAATTAAAATAAAAATAGGTTTTCACATATTAATTATAAAATGCACACATTCCCCAAAGCTTTTTAGACATTTTTATTGTTAAGTAGTTGCACATAGATGTTACAGTTCCATGTTGGGTTATGAGTACAATACATTTTGATCAACACTATCATTCTCCTCCATTATGTTCCCCCATCCCTAGCCCCAAGTTACTTTACAAACACAATGCAAATGATAGGTATTTTAAGTTATTTCCATTTATTATTTTTACAGGATCAAAAGTGGAAGCAAACCTTGTGCCCATAGCAGTAGAATAGTTATTCACTAGAAGTAGTAAATATTTACTGCTATATAGAAATCAAAGCAAAGGATCAAGACGGCTCTGCATTTATGGAATATATTTATTTCTGAAAGTGGTTTTAAACTAAAAATAATGGTTTTGTGTTCCTATAGCCTACTAAATGAAATGTTGACATATATATATATATACACATATATATATATATATATATATATATATATGTATCCATTGTAGAATGGAGGAATTGTAGCACTTTACATTTGCACTACTCCACTCATTTTTGTGCAATGAGAATGTTAAAGTCTACTCTGTAATTTTCATAAATATGGTACAGGGCTACAACTGTAGTATGTCCTCCAATAGCTCATTTGCACTTATTCCATCTTCATAGATGAAATTTGCCTCCTGTATTCAGCATGTCCACCACACTCTCTCCCCTCCTGCTGGCCTCTTGTAACCACAATTCTGCTCTCGGCATATGTGAGCTCAATGTTTTATGGAAATAGACTGTCAATTTCTTATGAATTAAAATATTCTTTTATGATACAACAGAGCAGAATCTGTAGTCTTTATTGAGTAAATGGACTATTTGTGATCATGAATGTATCTGATTCTTTTTTGTATAACCAGGAAAATTGGAAGCAACACAAATGTCCACAGATAAGTGAATGAAGAGAGAAATAGGAATAGTCCATATAATTGGATACCACTTGGCTACAAATGGAAAAGAACTCCTAACAGACAGAAGAATATAAATGAATTTCAAACACATTATGCTAGAAGAATGAAGCTAGACTTAATCTGTATGATATAAAGGACAAAGTTATGTTGGCAGTAAACAGATCAGGCATATAGATGGAGTTTGTTGAGGGGAAAATATTACAATCAAAGAGCACTAGAGAGTTAAGATGGCTGGTAAAATTTTGGCAGCTAATATCTTGACTTCGGTGGTCATTACATGACTGTTTATTTAACAAACTTGCAAAACTGAGTATTTGGTGTATGTTCCAAGTGCTTGTGTATCTAGTGAAAGGGTCAAAGTTCAATCCCTCATACAACACCAACACAAAACAAAAACACCTTGCAAAACAGAATACTAAAAAATGACTGATATTAATGTATTTAAATTTTTCTCATTTTAAAATAAAAAGGAAATAACTAAATGAGTATGAATATTTTAATACTCTATTTCTACTGCCTTCATAAGTATACATAGCAGTATCCCAACCAAGTGCTGTCATTCTTGTGAATTAGAACTCTTTTAAGATTATAATGTATATTTTTTTCAAGAATTAAACTTCTCAATTCACTCACTGACTCAGATTTTAGTTTCAACATTCTTCCTGGAACTGTAAATAGCTCCTAGCTTTCATTTTTCTTTCTGGCTGAATTTATTTTATTAGGAGACTTTTGGGTTTTGCTTTTATTGTTCATTTTGATCCCTTCAGTAACTATAGTTTAGCTGTGTAAAGATAATCTAGGTGTGTGTGCCGCTATATTTAAGAGTCTCTGTAAATGTATGTGTCCCTTGTCCTATTATTGCCTTTGGAAAGCCATTGTTACCTCAGTACATTTACATAGTGGATAATGTATCATTTTAATCCCTGCAAGCCTTGA